CTTTTGGATTTAACAATATGAAGATTATTGATGGTGTGACCTTCATAAGCTCTGTTTCAGTGGCATACTGGGAGTGATTGAAGTGGGTTTAAGAAAGAATTGAGTAGAAGAAATGAAGAAAGACAACTTTTTAAAGAGTTTTGCTTTAAAGGACATCAAAGAAATGGAGCAAGAGCTGGAGGGGGACATGTGCCAAGAGAGAGGTTTTTGGTTTTGTTTTTTATGGTATGAGTGATTATAGCATGTTTGCTGGGAATTCTATACAGAATTAATGATTCAGATGGTAGAGACAATTGTTGGAGAGATATCTTTAGCAAACAAGAACAGATAGTTTCAGTACACAAGCAGAGGGGTTAGCCTTATATTGGATTATGAGCTGATTCAAAATATGGGAAGGCAGGCAGAGAATGGGGCACAGATACAGGGAGGCCTGTCAATGTGACAGTGGGAGTTTGTGAAAAGTTTCTTCTGATTGCTTCTAATTTCTCCATGAAATGGAAAGCCAGGCCATTAGCTTGGAGTGAGAAAGGGGGAGAAGAAGTTGGATATTTGAGGAAAGTTAAGAAGGTAGGAAGTAATTGTCTAGGAGGCTAAAAGAAGGAGTGGGCTAGGACAATGTGCAATATGATGGCTGAATAGCACCAGAGGCCTGTTTGAAGTACAGGATTGTAAATTTAGAGACTAGTAAGTATGGCAGCGTATTTTCTCCAGCCAAGTTCAGCTGTGTGGCTAAACAGAAGAGTAGACAGAGAGACTGAACTAAAGTTGGAGTTTTGCTATGTAAGAGAATGAAGAGTGTCTGCGAGGGAGTGAGTAACCATGGAATTGGAACTGGGTAAAGAGGTAAGTGGGGGCACAAGCAGGGAGAGGCTCAAGTAACTGAGGGCAGTGAAGGTAGGTTGAAGGGTCAGGAAACCGTAGCTCCTCAGAGGGAATGGGGAGTGAAATCATAAACTGGGTACTAGAGGGAGAAAACTAGAAAAATAAGGTGTGGTGGTTACAGAGTGGGATATTTAAAATTGAGATTAGGGAGGAGTGACAGATGAAAAAGACAAGGTCCACTGTATGACAAAAGAGCAAGCAACTAAGATAGTTGCTTATCAGATTATCACAGTGGAGGGGAGGTCACACTGAGATAGCCAGGTGTTAGAATGAACATCTACAGAGATAGCAAAGTCATCAAGGATCATGGCAGAGGTTATGTTGAAGAGACAACAACAGTGAGCCAGGAGCTAACGTCTTTTAGGAATGAGGGGGACTGATCAGACAGTGGGTAGATAAAGGTATGAGTGGGTGACATAGTCTGGTGACATGAGATTCAAAGATGAGATTTTTAGGATGGAGGGATTAAAAAGTAGGTTGGAAGAGGCAATGAGGAGCTAAGAAGGGAACTACCCCACCTCCAGACCCATTCATGTGAGGGGCATGGAAAGCAAATAACCAACTCTTCCAAGGCCCTTGGGGAGACTCATGGCCTAGAGAGAGAGCCAAGTTTCAGTTAGAGCAAGAAGGTGAGTCAGTAAGGACTGACAGTTGAGTTCCAGAGGGTATAATGGAAATATTTCATAAATTAGAGAAAGGAGGGACTTAGGGTTAGAAAAAGGGTTATACAGTAACAAATGTTATTCTTTGGGTACTTTTTCCTTTTTAAACATTGCTTAGAAGATGTCAACATTTTCCTATCTCAGATGCCCTTCTCTACGTTCTGCGGTAAAGAGGAAATCCTCTCCTGGCCAGGCTTGTGAACTAGAGTATTGTTTTACAATTAACTGCCAATTCCAAATGGCTCCTGTGGGCCGGCACTCATGGAGAGTCCAGAGAATTACCTTGTCATTTTCTTGGTGCTCCCCCAGACCTAGGACATGCTTGTGCTCTGTGAGGTTTACACCAGCTTCCCAAAGGAGGAAAGGAAAGGGAATTAACATTTTCATCTACTCTGTAATGTAATGCTTTGCATATATGTTCTTACTTAATCTTCACAGTCCTGTCAAATGTGATTGTTCTAATTTATAGATGAGAAGAGGCAATGTCGGTGATAATAATTAGCCTGCCCAAGATCACACAGCCAGTAACTGGTGCAGCTGGGATTTAAACCCAAGCCAATCTGACTCCAAACCCTGAGCACTTTGCACCATACCACATAACCTTCTTCCCAGAAGGCTTGGAGGGTCAAAAATCATCTCTCACAGGAATAAGTTCTCACTCTAGCATTTATGTACAACCTCGAACGGTTGTATGTGAATGTGAAAACCTTACCAGAGCTGGACTCACTTCATTTCCTCGAGGTGGGGAGTAACCCCTGGGTTTTTACCCTCACTGGCTTTTAGCATTGTCTGGGGGCTTAAAACAGCCATATCTATCTCTCCACTCCCAGGACTAGGCTTTTGAATATCATGTGTCTCACTCTCACTCTAGAAAGAAATTGTACAGATGTTTTATTTGCTTGTTTATTTATTTTTAGCATTCCATTACCAGCTTAAAGTCCAAATACTCTGAACTATGTGGAGCCCAGTGTAGAAGATTTCAATTCCGATTTAAATTGCTAAGTATTTTTCTGATAGTGTGAGCTTGCCTTTCTCGCCCTGATCTCGATATATACTAGAGAATTTGTGACACGGTGAAGGTTCAACTCCTGATTATGGTACTTGCGTGGCCTTGAACAAACAGCTTGAATTTTCTGAAACTTAATTGGTCACTTCATGTGTAAAAGAGGGAAAATGATACCTCACTCTCCGGCTTATTATGAGGATTCAAGAAGATAATGTAAAAACACCTAAATACAGTTCCCAGTGCATAATATGAACTCAATTTAAATTTATTCAGTAGACCTATTGACATAGATATTCTATATCTATATCAGATATAGATAAAAATACTGCAAAAAGTGACCATCTATTCTTTGTGAAAAGAAAACGAATCATTTGATAGTTTGTTTTTATGCAGAGTTTATATTATAGATCAGCTTGCCAAACTGGGAAATCTGTAAAATGGGTTAACATTGCAGTAAAAGCTTTCACTCTACACTCATAATGTGATTAAGGCAAAAATATTTTATCACAGTTATTCAAATTCAGTAAAAAAATTAATGAGGCATTCAATATCTTGGTAAGGTTAGCATAAAATTTAATTTGTGTTAATTTGCCCAAAACTTAGGAAGCCAGAAGTATGCTGTTTTAAAATTTGATTCAATAAGAGGGAAACTAATATTCTATATGATGCTTCTATACATCGATTTAGATTCATCTATTATCTGTTTCCTTCAGGCAACCAAAAAACTCACCATGAGAATCATAAAAACTGGATCCATGTCAAGTGCTTAGTGTCAGCTAGGTGCTGACAGTCTCTATAGAAGTCAGGCATTTTTATGATGTACGGTGAGCTTAGTGTATCTGTAGATTGAATATCTATAAAGGAAAGAGTGATAGGATTCAAGTCAGCCAATGGCTTAGATTCACATTCTGGCTCTGCTGGTTATTGAATGCAGGGCTTGAAGCAAGGTCTGGTTTTCTTCATCTGGAAATGGAAAAAATAGTAACTTATGGGGTCATGATGTTAATTGGGTGAGTTGGTATACCTGAAAATATTTTGTATGTTATGTTAGGGATATGATATGCCTTGTGGTGATTAAAAGAGGTTGCTAAATTCAGCGTGAACAGATATCTCACACCGTGTTTCTAAACCATCTCCATCCCTTCTCCCTCTGCCAGGCTGGAGGGCGTGGAGGTCTTTGTGAGAAAATTATGTTCCTCTGGACATGTCAAAGAATGGCAAGTAGCTAAGCTACTTCTTCATAGATTCAGGGTATTTTCCTGTTTAAGTGAGATGGATAGAAAGTTTCAGTGATAATGTGTAGGGTGAGTAAGAATTGTCCAAGTGATAATTGACCTGAAGTCATGAGTACAAAAAGTGGAAGGACCTTCCAGAACTTCCCTAACCCTGGCTTTTATAAATATGTGGAAATTGAGGCTCCAAAAGGATAGTTACATTGGCCATTTGAAACAAATTTTGACTATAATTTATGATCCATAAAAGATTGAGAAACTTCTGGTGAATATTGCATATGTGAAAATAATATTTTAGCCACAGTCTCTCTCTGAGTTAGTTGCATCTTTCATTCCTGTGTACCAGTTATAATGCCCTAAGTGAAGTTGAGAGACAGTAGTCATGTCTCCCTGCAGGAAGAGATTGACCTCCACAAAGGATCTGTTAAGTTTATTTAAACTAGGGTAACATTATGGAGGAGTGAACTGGTGTCTAGGCCTTGCCACCCTCTGGCGTCTAGGGTGAGGCAGCATATCTGGTGTCTACTCTGCAACTCTACTCTGTTGAGTTGCAGAGCTCTCACTGCTCTTTACTCTCGACTCTCTTAATCACAGCCCCAGTACCAGCCCAGGGCCTCAGCAGTAATGACATCCAAGATGATCCTTCCACAGGGATTCTTCCTAACAAGTTCAGCCATGGAAATATGTAGACATTTACATGAATAACAAATAAATGCTTTGCTAAATCTCACTCTTTGGGACATGCTAGGTTCCTTCTCTTCTCGATTTATACAGTTCTCAAACCAAGGTGAAGACACAAACCTGCTTAATAGTGTCATTATAATATGTTTCATGCCACTAGTCTAATTTTCAAAATGTGCTGGGAGATCTTCAAAAATTATCTCACATGTAACTTTGCGGAATTCACTACATCATTTGTTCCTAATGCCAGGTGTTATCCAAGTTTTGCATATTTACCAAGTTAAAAGAACCCTGCCTTTATGTTGCAAAATCATCAGTAAATTGCTCCATCATATTGTTTAACCCTTAACATAGCATCAAGGAGATTTTCAGGACTCCTCCAGGGAACAACTTTGTCACATTTTATTTGCTTAGAATGTTATTTTACATTTATTTAGGGCTCCCTTTGGAAAGTGTAGGGGAAAAATTCCTGTGCCATACATAGCACATATACAGATATTTCTCCCTTGTCTGATTTTGTTTTTTGAATCTATATAGGCAACAGCCTCAGATTCCAATCACCACAGGAACAGGTGTTGTGTATCCTGGTGCTATCACTATGGCAACTACCACACCATCGCCTCAGATGACATCTGACTGCTCTAGCACCTCGGCCAGCCCAGAGCCCAGCCTCCCGGTCATCCAGAGCACTTATGGTATGAAGACAGATGGCGGAAGCCTAGCTGGAAATGAAATGATTAATGGAGAGGATGAAATGGAAATGTATGATGACTATGAAGATGACCCCAAATCAGACTATAGCAGTGAAAATGAAGCCCCGGAGGCTGTCAGTGCCAACTGAGGAGTTTTTGTTTGCTGAGTTAAAGTACTCTGACATTTCACCCCGCTCCCCAACAAAAAGTTATTAAAGAGCCCGCATGCATTTGTGGCTCCACAATTACATCAGCAGAATGGTCTTAATTGTTTCATAAAGTGTGAGACAGATTAAGTTTTCCCTGATTTTTCATGAACTTGAGTTTTTTGTCGTTATTGTTATTGTTGTTGTTGTTTTTTTTAATTTAGGTGAAGACATATTAAATATGAGACACCAGGACTTGAAACTTATCTCAACCCGTAGATGTCTTACAAGTCTTATATTTTTGTCTTACTTTTTTTTTCTTTTGGATGTTGATAAAGGTTTAAGTTACTGTTTTAGATGGGGTTAAACATTCTCACTCAGGTATGCTGTGCCGGCCTACAGGTTGTGAATGTGTTTTTATTCTGAATTATTTTAGAAAACAACTGAGGATTTCATATTGTGAAACAGAACAAGTCCACGGCGTGTGCAGCTGCATGTAGAGCATATTCAAAAGGCCTCGGAATTCCAATTTTCCATGTGTAGAGTTAAACTTTGAATGTGCCAAACTTTTTCATAACTTTTGAATCTTAATATTTTGAAAGTCTTAAAGGAGACACTGCAAAGTCTTAGACAATCTTTGGCATCTTAAAATAAAATAGCAAACCAATATTTTTTTCCAGAAAATGGTAAAGTACTCAGGAATCTGGAGACAAGATATTGTAAGGAATGAACAAGTTTGCCACAGTGCATGGACCCAATTGTGTTTGCCTGTTGACGTGCCATCAGTGTGTGATGTGGTATGACGTACACACACCAGAGCAACCGCCACACCAGATATCGACCGAGTGGTCTTCTCTGCCTGAGACCACCTCTCACTACATCCATTATCCCTTTGCCTTTAACCCTGACATTCAGTCTTAACACATTTTCTCTTAAATAATTTATTCATTCCAGAATGTCAAGGGTCCACTTACTATTTATTTTTTTAAAATTGTTGGTGGCATTAATTTAATAATTCTTTTTTTTCACCTTCCTTCCCCAAAGAACTTTTCAGTCCTTTTCACCTCCTTCTCCTGTGTACATAGTGATTTTATGTCCCCAGAACACCTGGAAGCATTTCTGAAACCAAGATATTATTAAAAACCTATTATTGTTTTTAATCATGAGTATATATCTGGCTGCAGGGCTGTGTATTGGGATATAGGTATATAGTCTTACACTTAAACAGGTATGCCCCTGAGGTTCACTGTGACCTCAAGTCTTTTTCCAGAATTTTCCCCTAATTCAGTTCACAAGTGGTAGGGTCTGCATCAGTGGCATTTCCCCCTGAATTCCATTCAGCAGCAAGGGTCAACAGTGGTGACTGCCAGGCAGGAGAGGCCTGTGGCCAAACCTGAAGCCCAAGGCTTGTGGGCCATGCAGGAATCTCAGTGAAGCTGTCATGGGCTGGCATCTTTACGCTGAGTTGCCTTGTCCCAGCTGGCACATCCAGGGAGTTCATTGCAAAATCCCCAGGATGCAAAAAGCCACATGACAGCCTCAGAACAAAGATGGTGGCAAATAGTCGTGATACATCTAGAGAATGAAAGAAAACCATAAGGGAGGAGAAGGAGGGGAATACATTCCCTATATGGGATGTTCCTACTGTTAACTCTGGGGAACAGATAGCTCCGGGGGCAGCAGATGAGTTCCTCTGGCTGACTCTCTGTCCGTGGCCACAGGGGGACATGCCTACGTGTGAACAAGATGAACTACACTTGTCACACAAGGGTTTCTTTGGAGACATGCTGCTGGGGTGGGAAGCAGTGAGGTTTTATTCTTCATCTCCTAACTACAGGGAGTTCTGCCATGCCATTTTGCCCTTCCTGAAACCAGGACAGGTTGCCTATCGGGGGTCTTCACCCAGAGAGGTTTAGTGAGAGAATGTCAGTGAATGGGATAGTTCACCTCATGGGACAACCCAGAATCTGATCACCAGGACATAGGAACGGCCCCATCAGATTTCTTGAGCCATTTTGTCACTTGGAAGAAAATAGTGTACCTTCATATTTATTTAAGAGTGCTCAAGGCCTAATAGCAATAAACAGGTCTAGCCAAGAAATTACCAGCTATTCCATTAGCTGGGAGTGCTCTCTATAAGCTGATTAAGGTACTGATAGGAACGCTTTGTTATTCATGTTGGTTGGGGATTAGAAATTTGTTTTTGTACATTTATTTCAAATGAGGAGGAGGTCATTTTTTTCTCAAAAAATGAGTATTTATTATTGTCTTACTGATTTCTTTGATTATATACCTCTCCTCCTCAGTTCACTCTTGTGTCTTTTTTTTTCTTTCTTTTTGGCTTTTGCTTTTGCTCTCTCTCACTTCTTTCTTATTTTGTTGCATTGGTAGAGTGTTGTATGGCTAGCATTGTATTGTATGTAATTAATTTTGCACAAAGGCAAACATTTAGCATAGTAGGTTAATTTTGTTTGTTTTTATGACCATGCCAAAATAATATTCTGGGCTGGTGGAGAACAAAGGACTGTTCTTTAGGACTGAAACTTGATTTTGCTCGTAGTAAGTAAAAAAAAAAAAAAAAACAACAAAAAAAAACACACACACTCACAGATGTTGTTTCGTAAGTGTTATAAGCACTGGATATAAATGGTATTTTTTATCACTTCTGACTAATGTGAAACTGTTGTACGAAAACTACATGAACAAAAGTCATCTGTTTCGACTCGTGTGGGCTTGCCTCACAGTTGCCGGATTTGAGTCATTTTTATGTCTTGTTATTTCATTTATTTATGCAAAATACATGTGTGTATGAACACTTTGTTTTAGCTCCAGCTCTGCCTCAGTACTGGGGTTCAGTTACTTTTAGCCATGTTCTTAAAAATGAAAGGCTATTCAGGAATGATCTGATTGTAAACACCTCTTTCATTGGATCGAACAGTAATGCTGTATCTGAATCTAAATTTTGTGTATAAGCAGTTTATTTATTAGCCAAGTTTGGCTCTAAATATTCATGGAAATTAAGAATGACAATCATAGGGATCACTTCATTTTATTTTCAGTGGGGCTTAAACAAAGTTTTTTATGACTTTACCATCTCATTTTAGATTTTTTGAATGTGTAAATATAACATAGAAATAGAATTTATTTTTGGTTCATGAATACTTAGTGAGATATAAGTTATGTATTTCCTTTTTGTTCTCTATCCATAGATGTTGGTCCAAACTGAAAGTTGATGAGTCACTGTGCCTCTCGGGGTAGTGAGTTATCAGCTACAGTGAGTGAGAGAGCAGTGTTCGGCCTGCAGCTGGGACAGCAAAATGCTTCACCAGGGTTCTCATGCAGTTCAGAATCCACTGTCCACAGATCCAGACATTTCCCTTTTTTCTTACAGAAAGTTGATGATTGGACATACTAAATTTCCGCTACGGTTAGGAGACAGTTTGCTTTGTGAGTCCACATAAATCTTCTAAGATAGTTCTGTGACCATTTAATAGCAAGAAACATGAATGCCATTACAAAGGCAAAAATCCACCTCTGAGATTGGCCATTAATAAAAGTCCTACCATGTCAATTTAGATTCAAGAATGTTAAGCAACTTTGTTTTTGCGGTGCTCCCTATTTCATAGTATCTTCAAATCAAAGATAAAAATGATCTCCATTTTGTTAAAGAACTTACAGGGTCAGGGTTCTCCTTGTCACTTAGAATTGGGACACTGCCAGACAATCCTCTCCTACAAAAAAAAAAAAAAAAAAAAAAAAAAGCCATATGGAATGGAAGGAAAAGGAGAAAAGAAGGAAGAAAGGAAAAAAGAAGGAAGGGAGAGAGAAACAAAAGGTCGCTTTGCAGATACGAGCCGCCAGGCTGACAACTTGTCTATTTCATTGGCAGATATGAAGCAGTGTCTTTTCCAGGAAGGTACGGAAGATTTGTTGTTTTCACACATATCCAGCTCAGCCTTTTAGAAGCACATCAGTTTGCTTCGTTAGGTATTTGAAACTCTCCAGCCTTGTCCTTAGGCCTGATTTGATTTGCCAGGGTCCTGACACCAAAGCCCAGGCCAAGTTCTAAATTCAGGTGTGGGCTCACAGTGCTATTGAGCTTGTCGAATTCTGGCCTCCCCTGAACATTAGCCCCACAGGAGCCTGAGGGTGTTTGAAAAGGGCGTGATCACTCTAGGGCTGAAATTAAAGGCTGCTTTCTTTTCTTTCCGAAGCCAGGCTGCTTCTTCGGAGCACACCCTCCTTAGCCAGGAGCACAGGCACTAGCTGAAAGCAGGGATTGTTTTGGGAAAGCCCATTTACCCTCAGTAGGAAGGCAGCCGGGTCACTTGAACAGCACAGCTGAGGCTGCTTCTCTCAATTTACTCGTTTTGCAAAGAATTGACCTCTACCAACTCATTAGGGAGAGGAAAAAGAATCACTTAGTAATTTTAAATCACGTGAGAAGTCCTGTACCAAGTGCCAATAACTGCAAATAAATGCAGCTAGAGGAATGTATTGAAATTGTTACTGGGTCTTCCTTTTTAATGAGAAAATGACAAAAATAGTTGCTGTAGCCCTGCCTGTGTACACGTTTGTCTAAGAATTGAGTTGGCACTTAAGCTCACTTCTCAAAGTATAATAATATTGTATGACCTCATTTGTCCTTTCACAAAAGCACTTGCATCATTTCCTTAAGTCATCTGCTCCCTGACATGTTTTCTTCCCTAATAAACAACTTCTGTCTGTTATTCCTGCCGACGATGTTCTGTTTCTGATGCCATATCCTATTAAGCGTTCCCCTGTATTAATATCATTGAAAGTATTGATATGCAAACACATTTCCTTTTCATCCCCATTCTGTCTTTCCCGTTGGGGACAGATTGCTTTCCAAAAACTCATGAACAAGTATTTGGAATGCTGGTACCTTTGGGGCAGAGGTCAGGGTGGGCGGGATGGGGGCAGAAAGGTAATGCTTAATGCACATACTCTGCTAATCAGTGTCCGTGGCAATATGAACTCTTGAAGAAAACTCAGTGACATATCTTGCTCAGTAGATTCTTATTCCTGAAGAACCACAAGCATAAAGTGAGGCCTCAGTGCTGGTGCTCTTGGAGTATGGGGAATGTGCAAATATTTAACTGTTTTGTATGCTGCACATTGCAGGCCTGCTCATGTGCATTCTCCCTTTGTCTTCCTTTGTCATATGTGTTTTTGCTTTTTTGAAAGTGCAGTCTTTATTGTACCCTCCTCCAGCTTGTAGCAAATTAGAATGCTTAGCATTTATGTTCATTCATTATTGTATTTGCCATGTAAAATTTTTATTACCTTAGACAAGCTTATAAGCTGTTACTACATAACTTATCTTACTGTAACTCTTTTATTTCCCCCTACGTTGTAATTTGTTTGTGATGTATATTGTGAAATTGTATTCTATGTTAATTTAATCAGCACAATTCACTGACATGCTGGACTGACATGCTGGCTGCTGTTTCAAAGTGTAAAGTTTGTGTAGGGCTGTTGGGACAACTGCAACTCTGTTGTCAAGGTACTGTGCTTTGGTTCCTATAGCAACACTGGGTGTGGCCCTTGAATTGCTAAGGGCATTTAATACATCCTGGAGCAAAATTTTAACTGCAGATTTTCTTTGTAGAAATTCTATGTATAATGCAGGTACCTACTTGGCCCATGGCTGGTAACTATTTGGGCAAATAGAAAAAAGAAAAAAACATAAAAACTAGTGTCTATTGCTGCTTTGAATATGTTTGAAAGTCTGAAAATGTAAATAGTTTATCAAAAAAAAATCTTGTACAGTCCAGTGTAAAGTTTTTAAATGACCTTAAGGGTTGCCATCACATCTTTCTCACATTCTCCTCTTGATAATAATAATAATAAAAAGTTTGCTAAGGATTAAAGAAATGGGAAAAAAAATCTCTTCAAATTTACAAGAATGAATCATTGTTCTTAGCTTTGTTGCATACACAAACTTCTTGGATTTCGTTGTGCAGTATTGATGTGAGATAAAGCTCAACATTGAATAATCTTTCAGTGGTACTTTTCAAAGTCTTCCCCTCCTCTGCCTCATAATTAAGGGAAAAGACAAATTGAAAAACACACTGTCTTTATCTATCCTGGTGTATGTTGGCACCTTAGCTACTTTTTTTTTTTCCTTTTTGCACAAGGTGCTTTCCTGATATGTTCAACATGCCATCTTTGGGTGATAATGTATATGCCGTGATGGGGCTCAGGCCCCTAAGGGGAGTGTCTATAAGAACTGCCTATTTATGCTCATTTACCTCAAGACTGTCCTCTCTACCCTAATCTAGTTGTCATCACTCCATCTTTTGTACTGCTGTTGACACTTACAAATTAAAGATAAATTTTGTTTTATGACCTCTGTGTATGGCCTTGTCTGTGCCCTGCCAAGTATCCCCACCACGGAGCCCCAGCCAGTCCTGAATGTGCCACCCTCTTGCTGCTGGAGCCTGCAGAGCTCTCCTACCCTCCGTCATTGCTTCTGCCTGGCCCAAAGATAGGTCTCCGAAAGCCATGGAACCCCTTAGCCTGGAAAGATTTGTCTGCTCTTTTCATTGTGGAGCACACCTGGCTGCAGCAGGAAATACTTGTGGATTTAGAAGGGAGGAACGGGACGCAAGGTGGATTTTTGTCAAGAGAAGATGAGAGAGCATGGCATTGAAATTGCCTCTTTACCTGACTTCTTCATCTGAGTGAAACAGCTTAGAACCTTTTGGAGTATGAACAACTCTCAAGGGCCAGCCTCTCTTCTGACACCACCTTCTGCAGGCCTAGCAGCCAAGAGTGGAAAATGCTGCACTTATGGAACCTTTCCCTCCATTGTGGTTGGCAGTAGTTGGCTGATTACTCAGTACCTTCTGCTTCAGAGAAGAAAGAGCCCATCTTTTTGTCCAGCAATGAGTTGCATCCAGAGTGAAACTCGGTTCCCAGTGATATCAGCTTCTAAAATGTTGCCAAAGCTATTTCATTGTGCTCAGAGTCTGAGTGGGGACAGAGGGTGGGTAGTGGGATAAAGCAAGCAGGGCCCTTAAGGAAGACTTGCAAAACCAGCCAAGCCAGTCCTGTGAGTCTAGAGATGAGTAACCAACACCTAGGGAGTGAAACAAAAGTATTCAAGAGAGAAGAGAAGCCCAGCCACTCCTTTGGATATTTCCTATTAAAAGTGCCTCAGGAAAAAAAAAAAAAAGCTAATAATATGTGGGACTGACTTTATTCCAGTCACATTGCAGGCTCCTGTAAGTTCTGAAAATCTAGCATTCCAGGACCTCCCTCTTGCCCCATGGCTTTTTAAAAGCCCAGGTAAGTACAGGGCATTGGAAAGAACAGGGACTTTGGAGTCACACCAGCCTGGCTCTGCCACCTGCCAGCTGCATGACCTTCCCTGAATAACACCTCTGAGCCACGGTCCTCTCCTCTATAAGATGGGGTAACAATTCTTACCTGTCAGGGTACTGGGGGAATGAAAAGAAATAGCAGGTGTAAAACATCCAGGAGTGGATGGCACACAGAGGGCATGAATGCCCACTAACTCCTCTGACCAGAAAATGCCTAAGCTAGGGAGGTTGGCTGGTGTCACCACTGAGCAAAATGAAGGAGGTGCCTGAGGCCTTCACTCAGGGCCTGGTCACATACAGGAAGACCTCAGGGCCCTCCCTCTGAGCTAGTCTCCATGCCACAGGTTTTCTCACTCCCAGCTCATCCTTACCATTGCTGCAGTCCTTCTTTCTAAGCCTGTCTCCTCTCTCTCATCCTTCTCTAAAATCTTCTGGCTTTCTGCTGCTGACTAGATAAAGTCCCAGCTTCCTGCCCTGTCAGCCAGGCCTCAACAGACCTGCCAGCCCCATTTTCCACCATTACCCCACACACCTTCAGTGCTCTCTGCTGCTCTCATACCCCCAGTCTGTCCACCATCCTGGGGCTTTTACTTCTCCTTTAGCATGGAAAGAATTTGTCCCCTTCTCTGTTTGGGAAATTCCCAGCTATCTTTCAAAAACCACCCAATATCACTACTTCCTGAGACCTTCTTGGCTCCCCAGTTTCAAGCTCTCCCTTGGGAGAGAGCAAAGAGTTCTTTGAAAGAACCTCACGATCACTATGAGCACATTGTAATGATTTGTCTCTGTGTCTGTCTTTCCTGCTAGATGACAAACTGCTGAAACCAAAAACTGTACCTCGGCCTTCCCTGCCCCCAAACACAGTGCTTGGCACATAGTAAGTGCTCTACACTTGTTTGTGGAAGGAATGTATGAGGGATTGCAACTTGGTCTTCATGTGTGGTTTAGATGCCTGTGAGTATCAGGGTCTCAGGTGGTGAGGCTGAGGGATCTTGTAGGCATACCTTGGTATTACTGACTTCATTTGGAGAACATTATTAGTTAAAAACATCTCTATTCATATTGGGAGAGCCATTTTTTCAAGTTGGCATGACAGGCACAAGGCACTGAGAGTCTCTGTGCTTTTAGGATGACTCACTGCAGAATGCCTGAGCCTCTGAACCCAGAGCCACTACTCTATTCTTCCTCCTAGGCATCCTGGCTGAGGTATGAAAAGGACAGACCAGGAAGGGGAAGCTTTTCTCAGTTTTCCTTACGTTTTCCTTGACATCCCAGATACCCTACAACTAGTCTGTTCAGAGACAAGGGGTTCTTGGAAGCTTGATCTCTGGGCCTCCATCATGGAAAGGGAAGGAGACCAGCTGCCTCTACCTGCTGCTGAGAGCCAGGGCAGTGATCTCATGAGGCCGCAATGTGGACAGCTGTTTACTTAGTGTCTGTTCCTTCCTCTTTGGTCCAGGTAATGACGCCTTCTCTCAGTTGTGCTCTAGAGCCCTGCTGGCGCAAAGTGTGGCTCACAGATCAGCAGCTACAGCATCATCACCTAAGGCATATTACAGTATGGGCTAATATGGCATGGGCTATACTGAGTAGAAAGCTCCTAGCAGTTGAGACTCCATGAACTATCATCTACCTCCTTAGTCAATGACACATCATACATGAGATAGGATTTTCCTCATTTGAATTGTGAAAGCCCAGAAGTAGGACAGACCCACCCAAAGTCACACACAGATTAAATGGCAGTGCTGGAACATGCACTTGTATTTTCTAATTCTAAACACAGGTGAACGTGTTGCATATGACCTCACAATAGTCTGTGAAAATTGCTCATCACTGGGACAGCCCTGGATCTAGAGCTCAGTTATCACCAGGTGTCCTGGACTGTGTCACACTGTGGGAGCACTGAGGCATCTAGGGGCAGTGGCCTCTGGCATCTCTGACTGTCATCCTCTACTCTGGCTGTGCCCAGTGCCTGGCCCAAAAGAGACGCTGGATCATTAGGGTGGCTCTCTGGAGAGCTTGTTCAGAGCCCTCCTGTTAGTTAACCACCTAGTAATTTTTCCATTTTGACACCAGGCTGAGTGGCCATGGAGTAGGTCAGTGAGAATATGTGTAGGTTCTGGGGGCCCCATTCCTGAGTCTGGGAGGAGGACACCCAGTGAAGAGAGTGATCAGGGAAGGTGTCTGAGCTAGTGTCACCTGGGGCTCCTAGACCACATGTGGATTGGTTATCCACTGGCTTCCTAAACTCACCCCAGGTAGGCACACTGACTTCCCAGCCTGTCTCCCCCACCACTGTCTCCCCTCAGCCACTAAAGACTGTGACCTCTGTCCCTGCCACCTGTTCTGATTGGTTTAGCCACTACCAGCTGCCATTCCCACTTCCAGCCCTATCCTTTCCTCTCTGCTCCCAAAAGGATCTTCCTCTCACAGATGCAGGCAGGTCGTGAAAGACACAAGATCAAGTCTATGCTGTTTGCATTCAGGCAACGGCCTTCCTGATGCCCCCAGGTCCTGATGAGCCTTTCCAGTCCCATCTCCAGGAGGCTCCCCACACAGACACAGCACACTGCTTGCTGAGATCTGCACAGGCCACACACTGAAATAATTCCTGTGCCTAGAAGTCCCTCTCTCACTTCCACCAACCATCACACCCCCATGCATTAAAGCCCAGCCCAAACATCACCTCCCATGGGAAGCCTTCCCTCCATATTCCTCTTCTACCCTGGGAGTGTGAATTGCACTGAAATGGTCTGATTGTGTTTTGTTACGTGTCACAATGAATCTGATTGTCACACTCACTTTTTTATCCAACAGTCCTGGCACATAGTAGGTGCTTTATCAATGTGTGTATTTTTTAATTTTAATTTTTTATATGAACACTCCTGCTGTTCTATGTGTATGTTATTTTTTTAAATGAAATAAATGAAGGAATGAATTCTTTCTACTTGAACTCAAAGTACTGCACACTCTACCACTGGCTAGTTTTTCACCCTGATCTTCTAACCCCATGGCTTCTAGCTCTCTAAACACATCAGACTATTAATTTGAAACACGTTCTCCAACCTCTTTGGGCTACAAGGGTCCCCTGTCTCAACTGCCTTTCCCCCATATCTGTCAATCACCATCTTCCCTTTCAGGTCCATCTGCTTCAACACCACTACAAAATACTAAGAGTCTATTATGCAGCAAAAAAGTTTTATGAGCGTTTCATTTGACTCCTAATAATGGCTCTAAACATTAAGCATTATTATCCCTGGTTTACAAAAGATTAAATTGAAACTCAGAGAAGTCAAGTCACTTGTTCAGGATCTCCCAGTGAGTCAGAATGTCTCCTTCTGTGTGAACAAGCTGCCCCTCAGGCCTCTCGAGCTCAGAATGAATTTCTTCTTCCTTCTAGTTTGTAGTTCTTCAGCCTTTTCATTATCTCCACCTAAGGAAGCTTTTAAGACATTTTTTTCCTCCCAGTAGCCCTCCTCCCCCCATTAAATTGTAATGTCACAGATTTACTATCTGCTTACATACCCTTTGTATATCTGTGCTTTATTTTTTAAAAGTAAGATTTTTTTAATTTCCTAAGAACAAATTTTTCTCCCTTATGGAAGGTGGCGTTATCCTGTTGAAAATTCCTGTACTATGGCTGGGTGCAGTGGGTCGTGCACGTAATCCCAGCACTTTGGGAGGCCGAGGCAGGCTGAAGTCAGGAGTTCAAGACCAGCCTGACCAACATGGAGAAACCCTGTCTCTACTAAAAATACAAAATTAGTTGGGCGTGGTGGCACATGGCTGTAATCCCAGCTACTCGGGTGGCTGAGGCAGGAGGTTGAACCTGGAAGGCAAAGGTTATGGGGAGCTGAGATTGTGCCATTCCACTCCAGCCTGGGCAACAAGAGCGAAACTCCATCTCAAAGAAACCAACAAACAAACAGAAACAGAAAATGCATGTTCTATATCACCTTCTTTGTGAAGTGTGGCCCTTACCGTAGAGTTTGTAATTTGTTCCCCACTCCACTGTGATTC